GCGACATTACACTGAAGCGTGCAGCGTGACAAATAGCGGGAGAGAAGACACAAACTAATCACTCTGTTTGCGTCAGCTCTAACTGTCCGTGCTGTTTGGTCTTGCTGCATGTGATGATGCCCACCCAATTAGCACGAAAGCGTGTCCCTACAAAGGCAGTCAACTTGGCTGCAGCGGTTAGCTCACTGCATGTGTAGATTGTCTTCAAACACCGTGGAAGACTGATTGCTGGTCGAATATCCAAACACGTCAAAAGTAATATACCAGGTATGATATTGGTATTTCAGCACTGGACACTTTTGCGATAAGAGAGGATGGAGGAGAAAATTATGAACCCTGAATTGTTTAATTTTTGAAGGAGCACAGTACAGCGCTTTTGGGTCAAAAGGGGAGTGAAAGAAGCAAGGCGAAAGCCTACTCCTCAAAAAATTAGTACCCGCCACAATGCATAATGTCAGGCCGGGCAACCTCTTGAAAAGAAAAGTGCTCAGTGATTCTGCAAATCGAACCAAGTACCTCCTATATTGTAGTTGAGCGCTGTAACCACTCGTCCACTGCAGCAGTGCTTGCATTCGCCCTATTGCTGATATATCGTCATTCCTTCGAATCAAGCCAAATCCAAAAACGTCCGGTGAACTTTGTCAAAAATAGATAAAATAGTTAAAATGCGTTTGCCCAAGGTTACCAGGAGATAGAAACCGCCACGTGTGACTGTATAACCGTGCGCTATTTGTTCTTGTACATTACTGTCATGACGTTGGGATAGCCGGCTCTAACGTAGGCTACCTTCTCATAGTTTGCCAAATATAAATAAGAAAATAAAAATATATATCGGCCTGTGACAACGCTAATCAACTATTATGAGTTCACTGTCGCTAGTGTCACTTTCACTAGAAGAATGCTCAGTTTGCTTCCATTATCGTTATTTAGGAAAGTTTTGGCTCATTAACTCAACTCTCCTAATTAGCAATGATTCTCACATCTAAGACAGTCACACTTCATCTCGCTTTCTGAGTGGCTGTCACTCCCATATAACGCGTACTCCACTTTCTATGCTCTCCGAGCATCTGACAGCTGCTTTGCGGAGACTTTCCCTGACGTCTGCTGGGCCAGAAAATTGTCTTTATTATCTATCAATTTCAAGCTTTCGCGAAGCCGAAACAAGAGTCTCTCTCTCTCGCTCTCTTTCATCCTTTTCGCACGTGTGATAACGTCTCTCGACCTCAAGACTCGTATACACGTCCCTTGCTTTGTTTGCGCACTCAAACAACGCTGGACGAAATATTTGCACCGTGTTTTGTGAAAGCATTAGCACTGAGACACCTCCCGACGAGTCTCCCTCATTTTACGTAGACATATATCTAAGCGTAAGCGTATGCACGTTCTCGCATTCCGGCTTTATAAAATGCTGCGGTGCATGGAACCAGCGAAATTGCGCTCCGCAATCTTATTTGATTACTGCTGTTATCTATTTCCGCACAATTCGTCTGCAAGCACCTAAGTCGCTCATGTGTCTTGTAATAAGAATATTGCAACAAGGCTACCTTTGACTATATGTACAAAACACCCTTACTTTCACCACTATACCTTGCTATATTGCACCGAATTAGTTAAGTAGCAGCGCAGCTGCAATGAAATGTAAGGTAACTGGTCGCGTAAAATAGGGGAAGACATTCGAGGCACATTTTCAAACATCGCATGCATCGATTTATGTGTGGTTTCATTTATGTGGTGCACCTGGAGTGTTGTTTACTTGTACTTGGCGAGAACGTACATGGATTGCTCGATGACTTAAGGCATCGAGCAATTTCGTTTTTAGCTACTGACGTTGATGAAAGGTGAGTGCTTGGCTTTGCACAGCCCGCCAAAACGCCTATTACAACGTACGCGGCATCCTGTAAGCGCTTGTAGCAGACGCTCGCGGAACTGAAACATAGATGCAGCAAATCATTGGCTATCATCGTATACTCTCGATGCTAGACGCTTTGCGTGCAACCTTGATATTATCGGCACACACTTCTTTCTTTCCTTGTCGTTTCATCGTCTATCATGTGTCCTCCTTGCCCTCTTAAGTGCCGAATAAGTTAAATTCATACCGCGCTATAGTAATCCCTCCAGATAAGATAATTTTTGGCTAAGAAAATGCGAAGCCAACGAGAAAGCTTTGTGAATTCTGCCCCAGAATCTCATGGGTAACATTAACGTGTACACGAAGTGGCCATGAGACGATCGGCAGCAGTGCCGAATGACACCATGACACACTTTACCCAGTGGTTCTACGGCATTCTGCGAAGACATTTCTGGGGTTTCGTGAAGCCTATCCTCGAAAAACAAGGTATAACTTTATCTCGAAACAGCTTATGGAGTAACGCCCGCTATCACCCTGAGCATGGATCACTCCCAATTTCAGAAACTCTATGGTGGCGACTACCCTCTTGGCACTAGCCACGACGTGTCGGTGTTCTTCCAGCTTCTCGTGGGCTAGATTCGCCTGCCACGTTTCGGCGGCTAAGTGGTCAGCATTTATTATCCTGTTTCAGGCTCAGTCATCTCCCGTTGCATATAGCGGTTTGTGTGCCACTGGCATTCAAGAAAAAAAAGGGCCAGGATTTTGATTCAGTGCACTGCAGGGTATCACAGATGGTGAATTACTGTTCCGTGTGTGTATGTGCTGCTTCTTCAGACATCTGAATATCGCGCACTCTTGTCAGTCCTGGGCGTGGAGGAGGGTATACACTTGTCGCTCCAGTCCTGTAGTGTTGCAGTAGGGATGACTATAGGTGCATTATACAGCTTCCTTTTCTTCAGCCAAGTGTTGGGTAGCAGCCCAATGTAGCAGCTCAACGGACGTGCTCGCGGGAAGTGGCGTGGGCCGTTTTATTTTCCTTCTCATACTAGTGTCCTGGTATCGATATACGCAGCGTAAGGAAGTGAGGCTATCGCCGTTTAGAGATATTGAGTGCATCGGCCTAAATGGTGGCCATTTGCATAAATTCTGCAGGCACCTTGCAAATTTGTGATGATCATCGTGGCTCCTATACACGCGGTGCTCGCCAGAACGATTGCTTCTTCTTCCACTACATCTAAATTCTGAATTGAATGTCTTGAGCATAGCCGACGATAACATTCGGCCTCGACAGTCTACGACGCTGCCAGAGTACACGTTTTACGCTGGTACTTGGCCGCGACACTGTAATGCAGTGTCCACATCTTCCTTGAACTTCCTGCAATAGCGTCGGCTCTAGCCTTTCGTCTGCGTTTGTGAAAAATAGGGTGCGTGTTGCGCGGCATAGGCGCGGTTGACAGGGACCCTCTAACATTCAGTGGAATGTACTTTTTTCACGCCGCATCGGCGATGTGCGTTGTGCTGCAATGTAGGTAGTGGAGTACCATCCTACTTGTAAACGTGAGCATGAGCCGTTCCAGCTGGCTGTTTTTACGCGCTTTTCATGCCACGTGTGGTGGACGTCCATCTTAATGGGACGCGTAGTAGCAGCTTTGGGGGTCAAGTGCCAAGGGGGCTTTGGTTGTGTTTGTTAAGATAACGTTTTTCTAAATTTTATTTCGCTGGTTTTCAAAGTGAGTTGCGGCGTGTCATACGTGATGCAGCTAATGGGGACAGCTTGCGTCAGGCTTAGCGTTTCGTATTCACTGAGCCAGTCCGTTCCATTTGTTCATAATGCTTTTGACGAGGTGTCTAACTTGCGGTCGTGTCCACTGTGTGGGGAATCCTTGGGAATGTGAATTGCAAGTAACCAGAGGGTCTGGTTTGGAATTTTGAAAATACTGTCCAATCAATGGTGGCAACGCGTTTTTGGAAACGTATTATGCCTTGACAACAGCCCCTTTCGAAAATTAGTAGGCCTCGCTGCCCGCATGACATTTTATCATTGCGGTGCGGCTTGATCACGCTTCTTTTTCGCATTAGAACGCTGTAAAGCTTTTCTTATAGTGTTCCGCGACATATGCACGCGGGCATACATTTTTAAGGCCTGCATACTTGAAGCGAAAACACAACTATAAACGGATTGAATGTGGGAAACCTTACAACTTATTGACAAGCTATTGAGATCAAATTCGCGTGGCGCGTTTTAACCAAAGAAAAATGAGCCCTTTTCGCGCTGCAGGTTACGTTCATATATGATCCTCCCAACGCCCTTTAATACCACAGTTCCCCACTCACTTCCACTGGCACACAAGGGACACCCGAAACATACATGGTGGAGAACCACTGCTCCATCGTGTTCAAATAACTGCACCTCACTTGACGCTCGGCAATAGCGATTTCTTATGCTGGTGTGCGTCGCTTTACTATGACTGAGGGTGCGGAGAGTTGTATCACTATGATACGTACATAAAAATGATCGTTGTCTTTCTTGTTGTGACACCCCTGAAATAGGTCAAGTTACAATTTCGGGAGGATGACAGGCTGCCATTATACGCAGTGAGGAGGTTCGCTCGAGCATTTGCCCTGTTCCTACAAGCGAGCGCCCAAAGCTGTACTGACCAGACAGCAGCCAAAAGAAATCAGCGCATTAAGTACTATGTGCACCAAATGAAACGTGAACAGCGGCAAGCAGTAGAAATGGTGTAGTGCGTGCCTTCCAGTCGACCCCATTGATAGACGCGCCGCACTGCGGTTTGGCAGCGCTGTGCTTGTCCATCTTTCAGCCCATAATACTTCTGATTATTCGCAGAAAAAGATATATATCCGGAAAACAAACAGATTACAAAGGAAGACGAAGAGAAAGCCCGACATGTTGCATTGCGATCTCTTGTTTCTAGACAAAACCTCACTTGAGTTTACTCTCCATTTTTTTTTTGTATTTACTGCTCCTCTCGTTTCTTCAGTCTTCCTTTTATTTTCTGGGCCATAAAAGTTTCTGAATAATTTCACATTGATATTTATCACCACTCAATACACTCTTTTTCCTCTCTTCTTTCACTTCTTTGCCTACAAGGCCTAGCCTCTCCGCTCGTCCAAAATGAGCTGTACTCACTTGGCATGCGGGCTGTGTGGATTCTTCTCGAAGGGCAGATGAGTCTTGATCGCCCCCGGCCTCCGCATCTCCAGAACCGACTTGATGCCCATCCACTCGAGGTACGGTGTGCGCGCCGCGAAGTCCTCGAAGTCCTTGCTCGGTTCGCCCCGATTCAGCACGCCGAACACGAGAAACTGCAGGAGAGCCGAGCCGCACTTTGGGTAGCTGACGGTGAACACGTCGCTGGGCCGAGGCTGGTAGGCGAGAGCAGCGAGCAGGGTCTCCTCCACGAGAAAGTTGCGGGCGTTGAGGGCGTCAACCTAGAGAAATGTCACAGAATGTGCTATGGGACGAGTAAGTAACAATATTTATTAATTCATACAACTGGCCGCATCATGCCGTACCCCTCACTGTCAACCACTGGACAACCTTAATGGGTTTTTGCTGTGTCGATAACTAACGCCTGTACACCCAAGGAAAAGAATGTTTTCACGTGTCAGAACACCTATACCATGGCTGTTTCACATGGTCTGAACACCTTTATCTATGAACACAACAGTGTGTATTGTAAACCAAAGCATCTACGAAGCGTTGGTAGTATACCCAGCATTCAGTGACCTCGCCGTTCAGCACGAAGGTGAAGGGGGGGGGGGGGTTAATCCTGATATTTTATAACTGAATGCTAAATATTACATAACAGGACTAAATTAAATGTAGGTTCTACTTACCACTAAATGATACATATCTTGTGATCTAGACTCTTATACGGTTCAACGACTTTTTATTCAGCGAGAACCAGTTACCATCAGGTGTTTAGTTGTATATGCCATGGGTGTTTGGATAACCCAAACACCCTAACCCCTAAAGGTTGTTTTAGCTAGAACAACATGAAAGAACGCACTCTTACGGCCTATTGCAAATTTCGGTTAGACAAAGGGGCGTCTTGCTTGCTTGATACTCCTTTAAGGGTGCTAAGTGCCTCAAAGTGCGATTCGGTTTGCCGGGCGTATCGAGCACGGGCGTGCCATGTGCGTTGTTACAAACCGAGCTTAATAAAATTGATTAAGCTTACTTATTTCATGACTTGGCTACAAAACTGATAATGCATGCAGCAAGTGAGGTCGCACGTACTCTGAGCTTGTAGCTGGGAAACTATTACGCAAAGAGAGTGACAGCTTCTCCAAAATAGTTTTACTATAATGTCAAACATCAACGACTCGAGCCTTCCACGTTAACCAGAAACACACCTTTAACCTTCCCGTCAGGGCCTGTTTGCGGAATGAGTTTGCTCAAAACACTGAGAAACCCGTAGACGTGAACATTTCAATGTCAATAAAAACAAATGCACAATAAATGTCCCCACACCTAAACAGGTAGGTGCAGCCATGAACATTCTAATGTCGGTAAAAATAAATACACAATAAGTGTGACAACGTATCCGAATGTCCCACTCAGGGTACGGTTATTTTCTTCGGAGTGCAATGTGCACGGCAGCTCAAAATTCCTGGGCTTCATTCAACCGAACTCAACGAAAAACCTCAACAAAAAAGAACATGCCAACCTTTTAACGGTATTACATCAATCCATTGCTGTTATATCAGGTAATACTTTTGTGTCGACTCAGGAGTGTAAGAAGCTCTTAGGCTGCCTACCATAACATTTATTTGTTTATTTTAAATTCTGGAGCGTGTTAAGCGCAACAAAAGGAGGGCGTTCATCAAACTAAATGAACGAGGTAAAGTAATAATGATTGTACACAGCCTGGATAAAGCAATAAACACGTAAATCAGTACACCTGGCCCGAAAGTGAGGGTACGTCCTTCTGAACATTTGTCTTGGATGGCGGATAGAAACATACGGAATTAACATGAAGGAAACTCAACTTGTTAAATATCAACCTTGCGTCAGACCGCTGAATGCCAGTGTGGGTATACTAAAGGCGCCAAATTCAACTAATTGTGGACGCACAAAGAAGAGTGACTTTTTTAGACTGTAGCTGAAAAACTGAAGATGCAGGGCAAGAAATTTAACGATTCGATCCGGCGACGTCCAGATCGTGGCGCTAAATTTCATGATGAAAGCACAGGAGACTCTAACAAGTCGTGATCGTAACGGTGACATGTAAGTGTGCTGTTTATTTCTTTCAATTTTTCTAGTCGTTCTTTCGCAGTGCTTATTACAGATGCGCATTCAACAGTAAAATGTATTATCATAAAAGCCCCTACAATCAACTCACATCTAAGTGGACTTCAAGGAACCAAAGAAAATTGTTAACTTAACTGCAATTTCACTAAAAGTGAATACTCACAAGAATACGAAGCACCATTCATGTTAAGAGAAAACAAGTCAGGCACCTAAAGTGAAAAAATATTTTAAAAATAATTCTGCAGTTTTCAGTTGTATTGCTGTCCTTTAACGTAAGATACAAGACCGTCTAGAGAGGTTACGATTTTGCACACTGTCTCAGGCATAACTTGTTGCCATAACGCGAAGTCTCGCAACGTTTTAATGTATCCTATACAGATTTGCAAGCGTTATGGTCTCTGATTCTATCAGCCATTAAGACATGTTCGTCGCACTTTTTCGCTTTTGGTTTTGGACGATCATTGCAAGCATTTTCAAAATCTGACAACTCCGCGCAAGTACTGAATCGCGCGTTGCCTATTTTCGTCTTCCGCATGGCCGCTTTGCCGCGGAGGCACTGCTGCACGAGCGATCTTTCACCACTGCTGATATATGAGCGATTTGGGGGCGCCACGCATTGGCCACACCGTTGCCGAAGAGTGCAGAACTGTATTTAAATGATCTCAAACATAAACGTTTGTTTGTCTCAGATATTAACTGTTTTGTTCTTCGTTTCACCGAAAGATTTTTTCGTAGGATTCATGAGAAAACCGCTAGAGATATTATAAAAGTTTTTATTCTGATGTATTCGTTAAATCAACGCTCGTTAAAGTGACAGTTTAATGTAGTAGTCTTTGGAGAGGTCGTTAGTGTTGGACATAGATATCCTAGTTTCTATATCGCTTCACTGTATACAAAACCAATGTGAATAAACCTTGATAACTTATTCGTATATGTTACATCGAGAAAGGTGTATACGAGCGGCTTGATTAAAACTTCGAGCATTGCACGCTGAGAGTCGAAAGTGGCTGGCGCCGTAGTTTGATTATTAGATCATTTGTCACGTTATCAGCAAGTTATGGGCTTGATGTCTACCGGCGGAAAAGTTTTTGTTCCGTCAACTTTAATCGATTCGTATTTTATGCCATAATAGCAACACTACAACACTACAGGTAAAGACTTAAAAAATATCGCCTATACTTTGCTTAGTTAAGCTGACTTTGTTTGGCAGCACCAAGATATCAAATATGCGCTAACCTCCGATGGTGGTCCGGGATCAGAGACCGAGCTGTCTTCGTTGTGATCCTCCTGGTTCGCTCGTACTGGCACGAACCGTTCCACGGCGTCGGTTTCATTCCTGGTGCCATCAGCAGAGTCGGGTGCGGTGGTCAGAGGAACAGTGGTGTTGGCGTTGCCACCTTCCAACTCGCTGCTGAGGTCTGACCCTGGTGGGCTTTCGTACTCAGGCTCGCTGACGTTTTCCATGCTCACAATTTTTTCCTTGCGAAAAAAACAAAAACTACTTCAGTGGACTGCTGTCCCATTAGATTAGTGTGTCATGAGGCAATGTGTATATCGATCAGACAAATTGATCAGGCAATGTAATATAGATTACAGTACATGAACATGCACTGCAATATAGCCAGTGCAACACCAAAAACACGGATTAGACATGAGCTCGGGCAAGACATCCGAGCATAAAACTTTCAGAGCATACAGCTAATGAAAGCACCTACGTGAAGGTGCCATCAGTGTATGTATCCCCTGCGTTTACTGTTAAATGCTCCGAAACAGGAATTCCAATGGCTTATACCGCTGAACCTTACCCACACAAAAGAATCAGAAATCATTTATTCCCATATCTTTTTTTTTAAACGAATGGCACCTCGACACTATAGTCATTCCCGCATGTACTGCCGCCATGAATAGAAATGCGAATGAAGGAAAGCGTAGCTTTGGTCACAATCCAACTAGGGCTTAGGCCTAGGCTGTCGCTAGGTGAATCTGTTTTCAGCCGGCGTCACTGAGAGGCTTGAATGTTGCTCCGGTTGGCGCGATTGCATTGCGTAAGGCGTTCATGAGATGAACACAGCGCCACACTTTCACAGTGCTATAATTATTATTTATGTTTAAAGATTTCCTTCCAAAATTGCTGTTACATTGTGTTTTGTGCCACCATGCTGTGGCTTAGGTGGAGCTTGTGAAATTACCTCTTTTGTGTACCATCAACACTGCAATGTCGCTATTCACAGCTGAAGCCTACAGACAAATAAAAAATATATTGATTGTAGCAGGGCTGATGTGTATAATAATGCTTCTCTATTGCAAATAATAACTTTATAAGTTCTTTAAGTCTTGCATAGAACACTGCATTAATGTGTTGCAGTGTAACCCCCATTTATGATCGCTAGCATGTTAATAGACCGATCCCACAGGCCAGTTTCGCGACGCCACCGCTGCCGCGGCAGCCGCGGTGCATGCCGGTACTTGTAGTCGTCCGGGCGCACCAGCCAGCCGAAGTGCCTGAGCGTTCCCTTTTCGATAGATTTTTCGGTCGTGTGGAGCCGTCTTACGATGGGAGGATTTACGTGCTGTGTTCCTGGATGCTACAACAACAGCACAAGGGATAAAGGCTTGGGTTTCTACGTCTTTCCTAAAGAGCAAAAGCTTCGGGAGACGTGGATTCAGCGTATCAACAGGGCTGGACGGGGCGGCAGGTAAGACATCTTATTAAATGTATAGAGCCGCTTTGAAACTAAATAAGCGTATTGCGGTGGTTTTTTTTATGTGAATGTTTAATCATGAAGCTTAGCATACCAAAGAATATGATCTTTGCTCACTCTGCCTGCGTATACTCTTACCGGATAGCTCAGCCGCGGTTCGCGGTTGTGCATGCCGGTCATTTTTTAGCGCATCTTCCTTATTCTAGCGTTTTTTGTTACCGCTGCGTACTAATATTATTATTATTACGAGTTGTAGTGCTGAGGTCTTTTAGTTTTCCATGTTGCGCAAGTGCAGCACCGCGTACGCGGCTTGCGTTTTTTTTTTTTTTACAACGCAAGTGGCAAGCATGCAGGCATAAGGGGAAGGCAAGCTCATTGACGAGGCTCTCCTAATAGCTCTACCGTACATCGAGACCTTACTTTTTAGAAACGACGTAACGTACTTCACGGCACGCTTGCAACAACGTACCCAGAACTCGTTGTGCCAAACGGCGATTAGCTTTCGCGGATCACCCTCGATGCAAACGGTGCCTCTGTAATCTCGTCCTTTCCGTAAAATAGTTATCTGGTGCAAGCACGCGGCCGATTTCGCTGCACCTATGCAGATGAGTGGCACAAACAGCTGTATAATTTACCTGTGTGTGGCGTTGTCGAGTGAGGCTGAAAATTAAAATTACATGTGTCATTTGCCCTTGACTGATATGGAACTTTTTGTACGTTAATCAAGAGAAAGTGATACTGTTGTCTTGCAGTGGGACGCTACAATGTCAAGAGTTTTCAAAATATAGCGACCGCGTCGTTCGGTGGACTAAAATCAGAACGCCACCCAAATTAAGAATTTCAAATATTATTACTACCAAATGCTGTATGTTGAACGCGACACTCGTGCACGTAAGTGCCGTAAGACACGAAAAGTTCGGCGCCGCATATAAAGCCTGTCCCCAACAGCACGTCACTGTGCAAACAAACGTTGCAATCCCCGAGATGCACATGCGAAAAAAACAGTCGCGCAGAACAACCGCTTACATACATCACTCAAATGAAAACGGTACTCAACAGGCAATTAACGGGTGGCTGTCCTAAGTCCCGCCGAAACGAAGGAGTAGCAGGCACTTATGACCGAAATTCGCGCCGCCTGCTCCCATTAACAGACAATGTAGGTATTGAAAATACTCACATGACGACTTTTTCTTGCTGGTGAAATCGGAGAGACGTCCGCGAAGCTCCGGCGCAGTACTGAAAAAGCGGCGGCCACTGCGTAGTCGCTGTAGTCTGGTTGACCGATTGACTACAACTAAGATGGCGGCGGGGCAACTCCGGAAAACCGGCGCATGCGCTGATCGGCTGGTGGGATCGGTCTATTTAGTAGCTTTGTAACGTATTTTAGTTATAAGGTAATTTTGCTCCCGCACATGACAATTAGAAAGATGCCGATGATTCAATCCCTCATCATGCACATTTAAGAAATATTGTGATTTGTACACAGTATTGCATGTACTCAAGATGTGGACGTCTATTCAATTTACACATTAAATTGCTTTGCACTAGATTCAGACGTAACATGCACACATTTCAGTTTTTATGCATGATTCGTCTTCCCATAAAATGCGGAGTCCGCATCATGCGTCTCTCCATAAAATGCGGAGTCCGCATCATACGTCTTTCCATAAAATGCGGAGTCCGCATCATACGTCTTCCATATTCTAATAATTCTGTACTTGAGGTCTCCACATCATATGGAACGTTTCAGTAGGGTTCCAGGTACGACTGGCAGGTAATAAGCACTTGCGGTGCTATATTGCCGGCTGGAGCGATGGTCAAGCGCTATAGTGACGCCATCTTAAAGTACAAATTTACCTAGCGACAGTTGAAGCGTGCGGTAGCTGGAGTGTGATGAAAGCAGCGCATTCCGCTGATCGTATATGTTTTCGCAGCGTTAGTAAATCTATGAGCCTGCCGACGGAACTCGAAACTAGAATGAAACTCCTTAACCTCACAAAATTTGAGAGCTGTTCGAGCTAATATGGTACAAGAAAATTACTTGTAGTCCCCTCAAAATATCTTGCACGAGTTACATGTCTGCGTCAAATGTGTCGAAATTCCCTGCTGTCGTGGTCTAGTGGCTAAGGTACTCGGCTGCTGACCCGCAGGTCGCGGGATTGAATCCCGGCTGCGGTGGCTGCATTATTAATGGAGGCTGAAACGCTGTAGGCCCGTGTGCTCAGATATGGGTGCATGGGTGGTCGAAATTTCTGGAGCCCTCCAATACAGCATCTCTCATAATTATATAGTCATTTTGGGACGCTAAGCCCCACATATCTATCTAAATGTGTCGAAATGACTATTGATGCGGGGCATTCTCTCTAGTTTGGGCAGTTTTTTTACTATGTTCGCTGACTCTTTTTATCCTGTCACATGGGGAGGGGGTGTATTCAGGGGGGGGGGGGGGCAGGCATGAGGTGCAAGTGGCAGAGTTAATACTGCAAGTTTGGCAAGTTCTGTATTAATAAAGGTAAAATTTATAAGAAATCGCTCAAACACAGTGACATAAAAAAGCACTCGTGCCTTTTTTTTTCTTGGGTGCGTGTGCTTGCGCATTTTGTTTTTGTTTTCATTAGATCATAAGTGACGTAGATCGGTTAAACTGCAATACCGTCTTTCAATTTCGCGCAATGGCAAACATTTTCGCTTAGCACTCATTTGAATTCTTTCCGAAAAAACGGGGGGGGGGGGGGCAGGAGTTCAGCGAAAGGAGTAAGTTGGAAGAGATGAAGAATTCGTGAGCATTGAATGTTGGTGGAACCGTTTATCGTACTTGGAACTTGTCTTCATCAAGGCACCATTCCTGCGTTGATGAAGAGAAGTCTGACTTCCCAGCAGTGGACTGCAATGACACCAGGCTTGCGTACGAATGACGGTAGTTATAGCGCGAGAACAAAACGACGACACAGAGACAAGAAGGACACGAAAAACATGAGCGCTACGTCCTTCTTGTCTCTGTGTCGTCGTTTTGTTCTCGCGCTATAACTATCGTCATGCCATACCAACTAGCCCAAGGTGCAACACTTGCGTAAGAAGTTTCAGTTTAGTTCAGTCTATAACAACAATATATTTTGGTGTTTTTCAAGCACTAAAATCATGATATCAATATGAGAAACACCGTACTGGACGGCATTGAACGGTGACCATCTGGTGTTCATTAACATGCAGCGACAATGCACAGTACGCGGGCTACTAGCTCTTCGCCTCCACCCAAAGGCGACCGCTACGGCCCTCATCGAGCCCGCGACCGTTCGGCTGGTAGCACAGCACCGTGACCACTACACCACGGCACCGGAACTCTTCCATTTTTTTTTTCAAAAGCAGGCAACTTCGAAGCAGGCAACAAAAGACATGTTTCAAAGACGAAATCTGCTGAGTTCCGAATGCACGGAAATATGTAAAGAAACCAAAATAGCCTGCCCACTTACCGGTTTAAAGGATAGGTCCAGGGAGAAGTTCCTGTCGAAAAGCCTGGATGCACGTGGCCGCTATAAACAGAAGCATCTGATAGAATACCCCCGACAACGGTTCCCGGCAGTGGTTTTTTACGGCAGCCAGAGAACGACGGCACGCGATTTTTTCCTACGTCTTCTTCGTTAGGTCTCCTCTTTAGGCAGCAGAGTTCTTAGCCCGTACCCCTTTGGGGGTGAGTACCATTAGATTGAGGACATCATCATCATCAGATCGGTACGGGTAGCTCAATTTATAGAGTTTTCTATA